AGGGGTATTTTCCTGTTAGCCTGAGAAAGCAAATAGGAAATAGTGAATTGTTACTCCAGCAATGAAGCAACTCAGCATGGACCCACCAAAGTGTCATTAGACAGAAATAAAATTCTTTATGTATAAAAGATACTTTAGGTCTTTGTGCAAGCCCTCAGAAGTAAGGTTATCAAAGAGAAATATGAAACAAAAGCTTTTTTCAAGTGTATGCAAACTTTGACGCTCATGTACTCTTCTCTTCTGCACAGCCTGGTCAAGGAGAGCTCAAACCTATGCTTCCCACACACAGTTATAGAATCATCCAGAAAGAATAGGCCAGGCTGGGAGGGACCACCCTGGATCACCTGGTCCCACCTCTCTGCTCAAGCAAGGTCAATCCCAGGGGTTGTGTTCAGACAATTCTTCAATGTCTCCAGTGCAGGAGATTCCACAGCCCCTCTGGACAATCTGCTCCAGTGTGCAGTTGCCCACACAGTAAAGAATCCTCTTGTGAGCATTTCAGGCATTTGCCCTAAAATCCAAAACAACAGCTTCTAGGAACTGCCCAGCTGTCTCTGCAACAAAATTAATTCAGTCAGCCTAGACCACTCCTCATTCTTTGCATTAATTATAATGGCTAATATATCTGCCGATACAATCACTTTATGGACAGTGCTGAGTTTGTTTTTTTGGCAAAAATTTGAATCCACCTTGAAGAATCAAATCCTTCTTGTTCCTCTGCTCCTTCTGTCCTTCATGGAAAGTGTCCTTCTGAAGCTATGAGACAACTCTTTTCCATGCCCCTGATGACAATCAAAATCATTCCTTCTGAATCATAACCCCAATTAAACTGTTCATGCCCTAGAGCCCCAGGGAGCTGTACTTGCTTTGGAGGAATGGCCTGCACCGGTCCCAAATCGTGCTTCATACCTTTTCATAGGGGAAGAAAAGGGCTTTATGATGCACAAATAACTGAGAATTCCAGCAGCTATGCTCTGTGCTTATTGAGTAAACACATCACAGGAAGCAACTGGGAAATAATGAACAGATGCATGAACTGGAAAGCAAAACTAAACATCTGTGCCCTTACCAATCAAACTGCAGGGAAAACCTGGGAGAGGATCACAAATATTTACCACATGGCTAATGAAGTGCAGAAGATTCTGGCAGAATCTATTAAGAGAGATGAAAACAGCTTTAAAATTAGGCTATTGTCAGCCTCAAATGTGATATTAAGCTTAAGCCATAGAGAGGAATCTAAGTGGTCAGAAGCAGGTTAATGAGTTGGCAAACGTGGCTTTTTCTTTAAGAGCCTGGGTAGACCTGAAGGAGAGTGGAATTGAGTCAACAGAGCTGTAGGAGGCTCATGGGCTCTTGCAGCAAAAGGAAAATGGAGATTTCTGTGCCAGTTTTGGAGGGCACTTTTAAGCACCCTTAGCAGGAGATGTGTGGGCTGGCTGCAGTCTCCAGGCAGAGGCAGTGGTTCACTCCAAGTGCACAGGATGGGAGGAGGAGGGAGGCTTTGAGGGGCTGGCTGTGCTCAGATGCACAGCTCTCTCTATCCACCTCCAGCCCTGAGGCCTGAGCAGCAGCAAGGCAGAACTCCCAAGGCCCCTCTGGAGGAGGGATTTGGAAGAGGATGGCAGTTATATATTGATATATAATGGAAAATATTTTCAGTAAGGATAATGCAAAGCTTATTTTTCCTAACTTGTCTCCACAAGCCATAAGTTTTTTGTTATGTGATTGGCCAGCCCTTAGGACAGAAGCACCCATATCTACACTGAAGATGTCTTAACATGTTTGTAATAGAAATAAAAACAATAAATCAATTGGAGACTCTCCACTAACTTCAGAGATCACTAGGCTGAGCTTTCTCTGTCAATACTAATTGGGGGTCTCTGCTTCTTAGATGTTCATGGCTACTGCCATTGAAATGAATTGGCTACAACAGCAACATAAAATCATGCACATCACTCTGCATCTCTAGTTGCTTGAGATCTTTATAGAGAAGTCCACTGGGAAATAAATTAGTAGAGTTCTAAACTCTCCTACTGTTCTTTGATGTCCCCAGACAACTCATATCAGAGATGGAAGTAAATGCAGGAAGAAGTGAAAGTTGGCAAAAAATCTTCAAGTGGAATTTGCAATCATTAAATGCAGAAACTGATTGAAAATCTTTCTGTATCCCAGCTTTTGTACTTAACTGACACATGTGTTAAGTCAGTACAATGAAAATCAGAGATCTTGCTCTAAGTGTTTATACAGACTTGGAGGGACTCATGAATTCATGGAGGACTGTGGAAGGAGTGATGGTGGAAGGATTTGACTACTGAGCAGGAAGAAAGAGAAAGGGAAGGACTGAATAAAATGCAGATCAGGAAAATCTGATAACCATGACTAATACAAACGAGCTCTGAAAGACTTTCTAAGTGGAGCCTCTAAGAACTATAACAAACTTTAATATGTTTTGGGAACGAGATAATGAGATGAGGGAGTCAGTGCTACAGAGGCTGGCATGCTTCTGATACTTATAAAAATCCCTTCTCACGACAGAGCAGCCCAAGCCCCTGTCCCTTTGAATCCCCTAACAAAACCTTCTTCTTTCTGACGTTTTACCTGTGGCTCAGCAAGTGGGCCAGCACTGAATCAACAGCATGGCATTCATTTTATGTGTGAGCCTTTTGCTGAGGCTTTTCTGGGCGAGTGGTGATGGGCTGGAGCTGGTGGCTCTGCTCGGATTGAAGCTTAAAAGCAATCAGTGTGATGACAAGAAACATGACAGCACCGAAGCAAGTTGCCACAGACACTTTTCCCATGGCTCAGGGGATATTTGAGATAGACCATCTGCATATGTAGAGGTGCTCCATGCTCTGTGGTTGTTTTCACCAAAAGAGCATTGAAAAGTTAAAAGAGATAAAAATGAATAGTCATCATTATGGCTTGGATTTCTGCCAGCTGCTAAGTAATTAGAGTTTTAATTGCCTGGTAATAAAAGTTTTAATTACTCAGCAATTAGTGCTTGAAGTTTCAAGTGCTTCACACGCACTCAGTTACCCCTTGGATTGTCAAGAGCAAAAAATGGAGTAGCTCCAGTGTGCCTCAGCAAAGCTCTGAGCAAGAGAGGAAAACATCAGGGATGGAACAGCTATGCCTGAAACCTATCCCAACTACTCTAACTACAGTATGTTTATTGCATTTCAATAAGATATTTCACTTATTTCCTAGGTAATTTAAGGCCAAAATAGCCTTTGTTTCATCAAGTTTGAGTTGCTTCATACCTAACATTATTGTGATTCATTTTCCATATAAAGGTCCTGAGGCACTGGTTTCTCTCTTCTTGCTTTACTAGAATTTAAATAGCATTAATAAGCCAAACTATAACAAAGTCAGCAGTTGCCAATGGTGCAGGAAGCAGACTGAATTTAGGGTACAGAGTCTGGAAGAAACTACATATTTATGATCTGCTTGGGTAACCCCAAAGAGGCAAATTATCTGATGAACCATGTAGTCAGAGGGTTGGGATAACTTTTCCATAAAATAATTACAGTTGCTCGAGCCTTTTTTTTTTAATGCCCAGAAGAGAGAGTTTTAAATGATGTTCAGTTTTTTTACAGGCAGTGTGTGAAATCCATCACAAGAACTTTGGCAAAACTAGACAAATTTGATTTAGTAAAAATGTTTCATGGGAAAAAAAATCTGGTAGAGGAAGGGTGGGATGAAACCTTCCAGTAATTCAAAGTAAGCTGCGTGTTCTATTAAATGTTACTCATAACTCTAAAAAAACTTAATTTTGACAGGAAATCATGACAGGGAATTTTTGATAGGGAATCATAATGCCTATCAAAATCTGGGGGATTTGTTTCATTTTTTTTTCTTATACTGGTTTCCATATTTATCTATTGGCAAACAGAATTAAAGTTGAGAAGTGAAGTTTATGGGAAACATACCAACAGTCACATAAACACGAATTTAAAATAAAAACCCTTTCTATTCCTGAATATTAGGGAAAATCCAACAAATTCAAATGATGCTTACCCAAACATCAAAATCAAAATAATATACAAATAATAATTTACAAATAAAACACTAAACAGTTTTTTTTCCTTCTGCTCTGAAAGTAATTTAGACTTTTTAACAGTACATGGATGGTTTGTAACCTGGTTAATAACTCAAAGCATTTAGGTCTTCTCTGAAGCAGCATCATATGTTTTCTATACCCTGGACTGTCCAGGTCACTGATTCCACAAATGCTCTACTTTACTGGGGTGCTGAGTTCAGGGACTGTACATATGTTTCCCGTCTCATTTTCCTGAGACAGCATCTGTAGTACACTTCACAGTGGTGAACAGATACCTAATGGTAGCAGGCTCTGGTTTTTCCAGTTATTACACTGCAAAGCATTAAAGTCACACTAAGCTGGGATTCACCTCCCTGGATGTAGCTGCCTTGTCTAAGCTGGTAACAGGCTCAGTGAAGAGACACAGACATCTGGGTGAGTCACTCCTTCCAAGTGTAAATGCCCAGGACAGATGAGCTGATTACTCTCTGGTGGATCTGTCTCTAATAAATAAGGAGAGATCAACTTTTAGACAATTGAAACCAGGAGAAATGTAGACTCTCAGAAGCATGACAGTAGAAGAATGGACCAAAAAAAAATAGGTTTTGTTGAGTATCAGTACTGATTTCCCCTTTCAGATACAGGAAAAGGACCTGTATTTAGACAATGTTAATGCTGCAATTATTATTCCTTGCACCTCTGAGGGTGCAGCTCAGAGTCCCGGGCTTGGATAACAATGCACCCCATGTGAGGCACCATATGGACCCAGCTAACCTCTATCCCTGGTAGATCAGGGTGAAAGCAATCCCTGACACACATTTCATTTACAGTGAAAGGCCATACTGGACAGTAAGACTTTGCAAGAGCCAGTCCTTTACTTGACTCTACTATTGAAAAGTGCTGCTTCCTGTCCGTGTTTGGCACCTTATGGAACCTCTCTTTTCCCATTGCTGTTTTCCAGCTGTGCTTTTCCCAGCTGCTCAGCGATTCAAGAGGTCCTCAGCTGCCTTCCTCAACCCAGTGTTACAAAACTCGCTGGAAGATGTGGTCCTGCTTTATGAGGTTCAGTATATGGTACCTTAAACCTTAACTAAGACAGGGGGTACTGCCCATACTGGGTTTATCCATTATCTGGCTTTGTGTCACTTTTATTCATCCCAGCAGTAAACCCGTGGCTGTGTGATAGTTCACCAGAAAAATGGGAACACATAGAAACTTTCTGATTTTCCCCACCTCCAGACAGTGCAACTGTCTACATGTGGCAAAAATTAAAGAGCCAAGGATATGTCGTTAATTCACATGTACTGTCTAGAGTCTCTTGGAGAAAATAAATAGCTGTGTTCTGATTTTGTACCAGTTTCTTTTAGCTGAGCTTGACATTGACAAAGGTCAGAGGATCTCCATCAAAGATGAGGAGCTGGCTTCCCTGAGGAAAGCTGCTGAGTTTGACACCATCTGCAATGAGATTATCCCCAAGAGCATCACAGAGATCCGCAGGCTGAGCAGCAGGCTGTCTTCCTACCCGAGGGTCCTCAAGAAGGAAGACTTTGAAAGGACAGTGCTGACCATGGTCTACACAGCCTACAGAGCTGCTCAGTCCCAGGGGCACCAGAAAGACACTTGGGCTGAATCCTTTGTCAACCTCTACAAAGCCCTGAAGAACGACTTGATGCTCCCATACAACAAACAGCCCTCATAATGGAAGGGGAGCAGCGGCTCAGCTGCCTGCTCTGGTCGGTGAAGGACACAGTAGCACAACCACCACTTTATTCTGTAAAGTTTCATAGCCTGCTTCGTGAAAGATTGTTCGTTTTCTGGCTCCCTCTTGTGGAGTCTGCTTTCTAGTCCCATGCTAAATGGTGAAAAACGTCTTCAGTCCTGAGAATTCGATTTTTTTTTGCTGGCTTGGAGGCACACTCTGTGACAGGAAAAGAAGGGAGTTTGTTGCACACCCAGGCAGACCCTTGTTTGAGGAAAACCCTTGACTCATCCTTTGGGTTTCCTATATACAATACATAAATATAGTGTGCTTATGCTCGCATGCTGATGTGCAAGTGCTGGAGAGTGCTGATTGCCTAGCTGGGGAAACAAGCTCATGTTTGGCTGGCCAGTAAGAGAATATGACAGAGATTAAGGCCCGCTGTAAAAGGAAGAGGTTTCATAATGCCAGCCTTCAGAAATTATGCCACATATTATTCATTCCAAATGTTCTCATAAATAAGCACTCTCTGATTCACTTCATTGGGCTGAGCCAGTGTTTAATTGCAATAACATTTGCAGAAGACAAAGGGCATTGTGAAGATCAGCAGCAAACAATGCCTGTGAACGTATTCCCTGCTTCCTGGACTGTCCCAAACAGTCTGCAATGATTCTTTCATTATTTGCACATGAATTTGGTTCTGCTTCTTGTTTTTTTTTTTTAAAGGAACATGTATTTGTCCTCAGTGGAATCCAAGGCAAGACAAAAGCCCTATTTAATTTAAAAATGACATGTTTTTTCCTGGTTCTATCACTTGAACGTAGGTCTTCTAAACCTATGCTCCAGAATCCCACTGAGGCAAGGGAGGAACGTGCATTAAAACATACCTGGTGCTGAATTTGGCACTGTGGCTCTTTGTTGTTTTGTTTTTTTTTTTTGAACAGTAAATTGTATCATCATTTCAGTATCAGTGTGTGTCTGTGTGTCTGTGTGTCTGTGTGTATCTGTGTTCCTGCATGTGTGTGCACATGAGTGCTGAGTACATGGAAGAATCCCAAATTGTTCAGTCAGTGAACAATTGCATCTGACCACTTGGCAGAAAAGGCCATTTAACAATTCAGTGGTGCGAATTGTGAATTTGGGAGCAGCAAAGGAAAAACTGTAGAAATACTGCAACCAATTATAATGAAGTCCCCCCCGCAAAAAAACAAATGAACAGAAAATAGACAGATAAAAGAAATCTATTTTGTCAGAAGGATGACTAGCTATGAAAATCCAGGCTCTGCTAAATCAAACTACCAAATGTTTGTGCACAAGAGATACAAACTCTGTTTTTCTATTAATATTAGAGTGCTTCTGTTTCCAGACTATGGGAAAATAGGTGAACATTTATTTAATCCTTTCCTATCATCATGCTCTATTTTTCTATTGCATAATACATTAAGGATGCAAGTCCAAATCACAAATCCCCAACACTAAAACAGACCTAAGGATTACAGCCCAAGTTCTGAATCATGTTTAACTACTTTTGCATCTCTTGAGCAAAAGGAATTAATTCTTCTGTGTCTCTTAAAAGGGGCACTTCAAGGATTGGAGCTGAAAAAATCCACCCAGAAGCACAGCAAAGAGCAGATGGGAAAGGAAGCTGCAAACCTTAGGCACAAAGCTGTGAGCTACAAATATCTCTGCCTCCTCTGTTTGCACACACAGAGCTCATTACCCCCAAAGCAGCTTTATTTTCCTGCCCACATGCCCTTTGAGCCCTCAGCTTTATCACTGCCATGCTTTATAAATACATGAAGGGGAAATGCCACAAAGTACAACACTGTCTTTCCAGCTCTGCTTCTTGGCTCCCTGAAACCCCACATGGTGGAAGAGCCTGGAACCAGGGCTATTCAAAAATGCCTCTTAGCCAGCTACTCCAATTCTGCAAAAATAGCAAGAAAGAGACATAGAGCAAAAATTAATTGCTAGCAGTCACCAATCAGAGAAATACCTCCCAGCCATGCTCCTCACTCCACAACAAGACTGCCCAGCAGAGTTTACTAATCATAAAATATCCCATAAAAAAGAATTACAGATATTTTTTAATAGCTTATAATTCCCTATGATAGACATACCATACTTACAAATTGGTAACTGAAACATTTATTTCCTCAACAGAAAATAAAGGTTTCATTTTACTGTGTGTAATGTAAGAAAAAGATTTATTCCTTGGGAAAGTGCTTGGACTACCCAGGTTAATTTAAGAGAGACTCTCAATGTAATAATAAAAACATTCTATATAAAAGTCCTTGCCTTTGCATTGTATTGATTTCAGCAGTAGATTTATTATTTTGCAGCTTCAGCTTGAGTAATTGCTTATCTCAGACTGTGAAACTCTTCATGGGAGCAACGGTACTGGAGAGAAGAGGGAACAGCCCTTCCCTCTGAAGGAGATAATAAACAGAAATGAGAGTGCCCTCTTTTTCCAGAGTTCAGGTGGAAATGAGCGCTCTGCCTTCAGGGAAGTTCTTTAGGCTTAGGGCATTTCCCTGTCTCAGTATTGCTTAAGGTGCAGGTCTAGGTTGTCTTCTCCCTATCTCAGATTTTGTCTTATCACTTTGGACTGAATCTTCTTTATGGGCAGTTGTTATCTCACAGGTTAGAAAACCATTGCCCTAAATGGCATATTTTATCCACTCTTTAATCTTATGTATCATAAAAATATGAAATAAGATTATATTTTCCTATTAAAAATAAAATATTTTTATGAACATTTTAGACTTTTTTTTTATTATTATTTACTTTGTTTCTCTGAAACTATTTTAAAAAGTGATCCTGAGCTGTATTGGCCAACCCAAAATCTTCATATTAATTATAGCTTTTCTTCCAGATCTAGTTGTTAAATTTAACTGAAAGGTCTCAAGGTTCTGTTGCTTGATGCAAGTTTTAAGGTTTAGAAATCTAAGATACAATTAATTAATACATCTAATACAATACAATTAATTTCAAGAACTCACCCTGCACATCCAACTCCTCTGCAAGTCTGCATTTGCCAGGTTTCCAGGACTCAGGGTCACAGATGCATCACAGTCCAACCTGGGGAGCTCAGTTTATCATTGACTAGAAGAGGGTGGGCAGAGGACGGGCAAACAAGTTTGGAGAGCATGGAAAATCCCAGATATGTTCTTCCCATGAGATACAGAGCAAAAATACATTTGTCTGTCTACAGATGGTGCATGGAACCAGCTAGTGGGTTCAGTCCTAAATCTCCAGTGCTTTCTGCCCCACAAAAAAGCATTAATAACAGAAGAGTTGGAGAAATGTTTTTTCCCCTAGAAGACTAGAGTAGAAAGTGTAAGACTTCTCAATTTGATTTGTAACTCAGTGGTTACTCAAGGCACACAAGTCAGTACAGAGATCAGCCCTTACTTTCTGAATTAGTGACGTTCAAGGGTAGTGACGGAAGAAACATGAAGACAGAAGAGACTGTTCAGAAAACAACAATTATTTATTTATCATCAGTATAGGGACCTTGAAACAATAACAAACTGTTCAGCGGCCTAGAAAAGGTCTTTTTATATGTTTGTGGGAATGTCAGAAGGCTGTTGATTTTCTCAAATGTTCTGAGTGAGTTTGGGACAATGGGTGGAGCAACTTCTACCTTCTGCAGTTCTCATTGGTGAATTAGAGTTGCCTGTAGCTTTTTAACAATTTTTTGTCTTGAGATCAAGTATAATCCATGTTGGAATTAGTGCCCTGTGAATTCCAAGCTCAGGACAAAAGTAGGGTAAAGGTAGATACAAAATAGAAGCAAGGAAACAAAATCTGAAGGAACTGCAAATGGAGGGGGGGTTTGGTCTTTTCTTTAAAGAAGAAGTACCTGAAAATTTACTTCTATGCATTGTAAAATAAATTGTTTGGTTTAGTAATCTTCCAGCAGAAAATAAACTGTATTTGAGACTTTCAGAGTATCAAACAGGAGGAAAAACAGCAGCTCAAAACATATCTTGCCTGGTTTATGAAAATGGAAATAACACCACCTGATGATGGAAGAAAAATACTTTGCAAAACATGGGAATAAGGATACAACATATCTACAACTGTGAGTCTGAATTAAAAAGAAAATTTTTCAAAATATCACTATGCTCCAACTTGCAAACCTCTGCATGTTATTGTGTGATAATAATTCAGATGTGCTTGTGAGCCCTACGTAAACTGATTGTCTTTTTAATCAAAAAACCTTTTCAAAACAACAGATTGAAGAATAAATAAAGTAAGAAAGATATTTTAGGTGGCTGTGGGGGTAGGAGATGAGGTTGTGAGAGTTTTCTGGGGGAGATCCAGTCACAGGTGAAGGAAAACGTGGCATGAAAATTGGAATATCTGAGGAACCAGAGAAGAATCTGAAGGAGAAGAAAGCCACCAGAAGGAGTATGGCAGTGATGAAGCAGATTCTCCGATCCAGAAATCTCTTGCTCGTTGTTCTCATTCCACTTCTGCTGCTTCCTCTGCCACTCATATACCCCAGCAGTGTAAGTATATTTTCATTTTCTTTTTATCAAAGCCTCTGAGTGCAGCAGTCCTGCTGATTAGGTGTGCAGCATGCAAAAAGAAAGACAAAGATGTCAAGAAGCACAGATCTTAGAAAAATCAAAGACTCATATTTGAAGGACTGTGAGGGTCACTAAGAAATTATCACTAAGAGCTAGCGCTACCTTGTGGTGTCACAAGAGAGGAAGAGCCAGGTGAAGCTAGAAAAGTAATGCTTTAAAGCAGAAATGCTGCATCTCTTTCTAAAATAATATTGTGTGGAAGGGGGAACAGAACAAACACATCCATGACATTTTCTTTAAAAAGAGGTCTGTAAAATGAATGCTTATAGAATCTTTAGTTTTTAGTAATAAGTAAGCATGGAGGGACTATTTCAAGTATGGGTTTATAAAGACAGCAACTCAGGTGTGGCAGGAGCTGAGACTGGGTGACAATGCGTGGCACTGACTGCTCCAGAGCAGCTGTAGGCACCTCTGCTGGAACATTGCAGCTCTGACACTGGCATACACAGCAATGCAAAGGAGGAATATTCTGTGCTTAACACACAGACCAGGGAAAGGAGTGAGTGCAGCTGGGTTCTTGACACTGCTTTGGAGATACTGATTGCCTTGACCACATGGTAAAGTCCTCTCTTTGCACATCTCTGCAGTTGTAACCCATAAAATAGCAATGCTTTCCTACCTTAGAGACTTTAACTTACCAAAATCTGCAATGTATTAAAGATCTGCAGCTTTTTCTTCCCCATAGACCTATAGATAAATCTATCCAAAACGTGCAGCAATATCCACTCCATCCTCTACCCCGCTAAAGATTCATTCTTCCTTAAAGTATCAGGGGATTTACTAATACCAGTACTTTACCCAATAGAAATGCAAAAGATTAGAAATTGAATAGCTGATTTCAAAAACAAACCAGTAAGATTTTGTTTGGAAAATAAACCAGGATTCATAGAAAGAAACAGTTCCCGCACCACTGAAATGCATGTTGCACTTTGAGTTTTCCTGCTTTGAACTTCAATGTATTTTGGCTGTTCTCTTACAGTGCTTTATCATCTCTTTTATCTCAAAAGAGGGAATGAATAACAGACAATTGTGCTCTTCAGGGAAAGAAAGGCTCACCTTTTCACAGAGGCTTGTCCTACAGAGGGGTTTAATCTCCCCTGATGTCGCTGGAAGGGTGACATGAAAAGAGATGTTCCTGATGCTCAGCCAAGAGGATTGTAAAGCAGCACCTTATGGCTGCTGAGGCAGGAGTTCACTGGCAGGATTGCTGCAAGAATTGGTGTTGTACAGTACAAAGCTCCTCTGCACTGTCACTCCGCATCTCGTGGTGCTGCTTTACTGCAAAGTGATGTGAAAATCCATCCAGGGGAGATTTACATCCACTTTGTATATATGTGAGTGACCACAGAGGGTAAAGTACAGCTGACAATGTGACCAAGACCTGGGAAAATGCTTCTAGTGCTATTAAGCTACAGTGCTATTAAGTTGACTCAGCTGACAGTACACTATCCAAGTGCTTTTGTGTAGATTTTACTTTGTTACAACTATGATTACTTTTTAAATTTGAAGATTAAATGCCTGTATTTTTACAATTATATTAGGGTTTTTTTGGGTTTTTTAATAGAGATTGAAATTACCAGGTCATTTACATTTGCATTTCTGCAGGGAATCAGCTTGCAATTTCTTTGATAATACCAGCACATCTCTGCAAAGTTCAAAGGAGCATTACATGTGTAGTGGTGAGAGAGATCAAAGGGAGCACAAGGACTCAGAATTGCTGGTAGATGCTGCTAATGGGAATAAAGTCCATAGCTTCTTTTATATTATTTTGTGAAAAGAAATGGTTGGGTGAAGAATAAATTTGAGAAAATTTATTCAATTTTTTTCCCCTTCTGGAGTTACAACTGAACTTGTACCACAGATTTGGACATACATAAATTCCTTTCAGGTCAAAAAAAAAAATGTGTGCTTTACAAACCAAGGTCTTTTTCATTCTGTCCTCATTTCCTTCATTGTTTACAGTGACATGTGAGCATCTTTGCTTCTTTTTTGTAATCTTTATCCACTTTTTTGTCATAAAGCCACCAGAGATACTACAAGGCATGCCACATGATTTCAGTCAGTTGAGGACAGGCTTTCTGTGACCACTGCTGCTGTGGACACACTGCACCCAGTCGAGGACATTTGGATGACTCCTGAAAGTCACCTGTTGGCAGAGCTGTGAGACCTGCAGTATCAGGGATTTTGGCATACTGATATGCCAAATCAGTAGAATGGCCCCTAAAGCACAGAACATGCCCTGAAGAGCCACAGTTGACATATTTTCATTCACCTTTCATTTTATTTACCAAATAAAGCTGAAGGATGGAATTTTTAAAAATTATTATTTATTATTCTTTTTTATTATTATTTATTATTTAATTATTTACCAAGCTGAAGGATGGAATTTCAGCATAATCCCATAAAATCAAAAATGTTATTCCAGAGGCTGGACTACCACTTTGCAGAGCTTAACCACATATCTGCGTGCAAGATATGCAATGGGCAAATAGGTGGGCAAATTTCCAAAACGGAATTTATTCTTCCTTTTAATCATTCTGAGATCCTTGGATATTTTACTTACAGAAGTTTTATGCATGACCCTTAGTGTGGAGTTTTTAGCCATGGCTTCCTTTCAGCTCTTCTTTTAACCTAAGGGGCTGACTGAAGAGAGATAATTAGATGACAATCCCTCCAACCATCATGTGCTTTCCTATTCCCTGCTTCAAGCTATGAGGTGGGTTTAACAGAATTTTTCAGCTGTAAAACAATAAGTGAGGAGGGTGAAACAGTTAAAATTATACTGCCGCTGCTTCAGTGTAATACTTAGTAGCTCTGGTAACCATTAATTAAATATATAAACTCAGTTCAATTAAATAGAAGAGATTAATATGGTTTCTCTTGGAAACCAACTGAGAAAATAAATAAAATTGCCAGACAAGCCGATTAAGTTTTTAGTGGAGATTAGCAAGCTTGGCTTTCCCAGTACTTGCTTACAGTTTTGTACCATTTAAAAATGCAATTTATTTGGGTTTTTTCTTTTGTAAAATGATTGCAGCCTAGTGTACAGGAAACACAAAGACTTAGTGCTCTTCCCAGTAAGGTTTTGGTAGAGATGCAAATTTCCTCTATCCTATTCCATTTTCACTACCAGCCTACTTTTTTTGCCACACCCAGAGGAGTAATAGGAAATTACATAATTGCTCAAAGAAATTAGAAGTACATTTTTGGAGTGAGAAAATGGTTTGGCTACCCCTTGGATCTTACATCTGGACTGCTCTAAAATAAAAAATCATTGATTCTTCTTTAATTAGAAGTTATTTTTCTCCTCAGACAACTGCTGAATCTGATATAGAGCCTATGCAAACATTAGCAGAAGCTGATGAGTTAAAAATGTGTTGGAGTCACTAGGTCACAAAAAAGGCCCCATGCTCTGCTCTCTGTGGAATATTAGTTTTGAGGTACAATGTAGTTAAATGTGACTGAGCAGCAAGTTGGCTAATTCAGAGCTAAATTTCTCCAGCAGCCTTTCAGATACTCTTTATGACCTCTCAAGTAATTGGAGATTATCTGCTCAAAGGAACTATTCTTGTAAATCTATTTCAGTTATTTTGGTGGCCCTGCTTCATAGAATCACAGAGTCATAAAATCATTAATGTTGGAAAAGACTTCTAAGATCAAGTCCTGCTCACCAGCACTGCCCTGTTCACCACCAAACCATATTCCCAAGGGCCACATCCACGTGTCCTCTGAAAGCTTCCAGGGATGGTGGATCCACCACCTCTATGGGCAATCTATTCCAATCCCTGACCACCTTACCACTGAAGACATTTTCCCTAATATTCGATATAAACCTAACCTGGCTTTGTTGAATTGTAACTGTTTAATGTCACACTTTTCTGAAAAAGGAGTCAGAGCAAGATCTGGCAGCTAATTTAAGTCCAAGCTTCTGAGTAACTTTGGTTACAGTTCTTGCACAAGTAAAGGAAATAGTACATACCAATCTATCTTAACTTCTTCTCTGGGCTGTGTTCTGCCTGTTGTTAGCATAAGCTGGATTTCAAAAAAAAAGATGAACATCTGATTGTGGCTTTTTTAGAGGGAATGTAAATATGAAATCTATAAAGATGAATTTAAATACAAGTTATTGATTAACTTCATTGGACCCACATCCCTGTGTAATTTCACTAGGCTTTACCACCTTGTTCACAAAACTGATTGAAAACAATGAAATGTAAAACATGCTCTTCAATTTGCACAAGGATCTGTGAGAATTGCTTGTGAGACCTCTTGAAAGCTGCTTTATTTAGAAGTCATCCAGCAAGGATAAATGTATAAAATATAAAATTATATTTTAAGAGACTCCAATAGCATTTGTGATCAGTGAATTTTCTACAAAATAGCCATTTGTGAGCTGTGACTCCATATGGCTTCATAAGCTCATATGGAACATGTGGTGCATAATGAAGAATAGATCAATTTATAGCTGGAGTAAATCAGTGCAGACCTACTAACTGCCATTGAACAGCAGGTTAAGGCAAGTACAGGACTTGGCTTCAAATTTGAGAAAGGGAAAGAAAATAAAAAAACTTTTCCTGAGGATAGTTTCTGTAATTATTACTAGCAGACATCCCCATTTCTAAGTATAAAGAACTATTGCTGAATACAACAAACTCAGCATAAGGAGAACTCCAATGAGAGCCATAAATAAAGACATTTCTAAAGAAATGGACCAGAAGACTTCCATTCACTAGCTGTGCTTTCCTGTAAGAATATTCAGCAGATAGCACTTTTCTCTACCGTATCCCAACTCCCCATTACTTGCTCACCATGATGATCTCATGCCTTTTTCAACCAGAACCTTGGACAGCAGAAAATTTGTTTAATTAACTCCTTTCACCCATTGCCTCCTACCCTGCAGGCCTGTGGTCTTCTTCCAAAGGTCTGTAGAAATTACCTGAGCAAATAAAATCAGCTAACAAAAATGTTTGCACATTGCTTAAAAAACAAAACAAATAAAAACAAAAAATAAATCAAAACAACAACAAAAACCCAAACAAACACAAAAACCCCAAACCAACCCAGGTTTCCGGAGCATTTTCCAAAATAACTACAAGGTAATTTTATGGCAAATATGAATGTTCTCCTCTGGTCCTGAACACTGTCTTTATCCAGGACTGGAGAGAAAAATATGCTGAGATAACAGGTCAACAGGTCTAATCTGAGGAGTAATGACTGAGTTCTTGGTAAATATTGGATTATGGAAATCAAACTAATTTGCAAATGCACTTGAAGCCATTATTTTGCTGATAAACAGGCTTATCCCAACACTTTGCCTTGGATTATCTGTGAAAACTTTCATTAGAATCCTCTTCTGACACTCTCCTTTCAGAAGGCAGCCAAGATTTCACATCCAAACAGCTGCACCTTTGGAAGTCCCAGCACAGTCCTTTTTGGTTTTTTTTAACCCAGGCACCCACAGTCTGAAGAATCCTCTGGGTGAGTTCACAGGGCTGCCCACAGCATGTTGTGGGGCAGTAACACTCACCCCCTGTGCTTTGTCCCTGCAGGAAGCCTCGTGTGCCTACGTGCTCATCGTGACAGCTGTGTACTGGGTCTCTGAAGCAGTTCCTCTTGGGGCAGCAGCCTTGGTTCCTGCTTTCCTCTACCCTCTCTTTGGGGTCATGAAGTCCAGCGAGGTCAGACCATTGTGTGGTTTTATCATTTAATGTTCTTACTGTCAGGTAATTATCTGAACGAGGCGGATTGTCAGAATTCAAAATGTCTCTCAGACATTTTTAGAGGTTCCAGGCCTTGGTCAGAAGCATTTTAGACCCTGGCAGGCAGCTGGAAACAGCTGTGATTTTGAGTTTGAGCCATGGAATGAGTTACCCACTTTGAAAGTGGAACAAGCAGTCACAAAAGGTTAGATAGTATAGTAAAAGTAGTTACAAAACAGAGGGGATATTTTTTTAGTATTGTACAGGGGGATTTTAACACCTGTACAGGGGGGTTCTTACTTTGTACATGGGGGTCAGAAGTTCTAAGATGGAGGAAAGCAGGCTGATCCTGTTCTTCCTCCTTCTTCTTCCTTGCCTCCATGTTCTTGGTGATGTTGGCATTTATGGATTGGTTTAGAGTAGAAAAGCACTTTGTAATATAGGTAGTAGGTATTGGGGGAAAACTATAAACATGTAATACGTAATATATCATATAAAAGATAGCAGCAGCCCTGGGCAGGTGGAGAGAAGAAGACAGCAGACAGGGAGGATGTCAGGGTGTGTGTGTGCCTCTGCCTGGGCTGCTGACCAAGCAGCCGCAGCCCGAGAAGACAATCTTTTAGATAACTCACAATAAACTGCCTTGAGACCAAACAGCAAGAGCCTGCGGAGTTTTCTTTGGAAGCACGGGCTGGAGGAGGAATTTCACCACCACATGGGACCCCAGAATAAGGCCGGGGTTCTCACAGCAGATCTTAGTGCAGCATCAAGGCTTAGAGGCTTGGGAGGCAGAAGTGTACATCCTGTGATGTATAACTGGGTCCCACCAGCCCTTTCTTCATCTGAGGATAGATATAGCATATATGATAGGCTATAATAGCTGGGAGAGGTGTCCATCCTTTCAGCTCCTGCATCACCAACAATTACCAAAACCTATTGCACCAAAGGATCCCATCTCTGCCCTCCTCAAATCCATGTGAACAGCAGCTATACGATAAAGCTTCCTTCCAACAGTAAAGTTTAGTATAGTGTAGTAAAGATTCCTTCCAATTTTATTTATTATGGATGTCATATAAGGCAAGAGGCTACATATGCTAAAACCTGTTACCATCTACTGGTAAAGACCAGATAATTTTGTTATCCAGGTGAATGTCTAACCTTTTTCAAAGCTGTAACCTTCTGTTGCACTGTAGCCAAAAGTTCTCAGGCAAAGGAGGAGCTGTACAAAAAAGTTGCTATGATCAGACGTGAATTTTCTTACTTGAGGTTTTTTTGAATGTTCATTTCTTTCATTATATGCCAAGAATTTATTTTATTTTCTCTGCAACTTTTTTCCCCTGCCTTTTTCTATCTCTTTTTAGGGGGTGAGGGGACAGCACATTTGATTTAAGGATGAGTAATACAGATAAGAATGTAGAGGAATATGTAGCAAACATAAAATTGTTGGATTTCTCTCACAATATAGCACTGGGAATACCCATAAATGGATAGAAACAAGCATGAGCCAAGAGTTTAATGACTGCTTATTCCCCCAAGTTTTGTAATAAAATTAGATACATTTTCATACCAACACAATTCAGTATTTTCACAATCTTTTTTTGCTAACATAAAGCTAAAGTAGTTGGGCATTTTCATTAAAAATTTGGCAGCACATTGGAGAAGGAAATTTAATGTCTGCCTGAGAGAAATTCCACACAATAGCAAATAAAGTGACAGTAAGATTAATGCAAGAAATGTATTATTTGCTTTAGGAACTGAAATAAATCCCTGCATTCAAAAATAAACAACTCTGAAGCACTATTTCCAATCTGCTGTTCTGGATTGACTCTTGCCTAGAAATTTACTACTATTTAAGATACAAATTATTCACAGGGGCTCAAGAACATGAACCAGTGTCATATATATGTATGACGCTGGTATATATATATATATATATATATATGTATGTATGTATGTATGTATGTATGTATGTATGTATGTTGGTATTAATGAGACTATTAGCATTCACTTATTTCTCCAACTGCCTATGAAAGGAATAAAAGAGAAAAAAACCCACAGATTCTTCATGCTGCTGGATTGATGAATTTCCTTAATTCACCTCATTATTTTTTTGAAAAGGTAGCAGGAAAATAAAGAGAGTTAATGAGAAAAAAAAAAAAAAAATATTTCACCAAATATCACCAAAAAATGGGATATTTAAAAGTTCTGGCACAGAATTATGATGGCCAAGTCTATTTAGTCACCATAGGAATTTATTAAATAAATGTCATTAAATATATATCTTATTGCAGATTTCACAAAATAACATTATTTTCATTCTTGCATTTTATGGAGGAGCATCAGTATAACTGAGGAATGGGGAAAAAAAATTGCTTCTTCTTATCTTAATTGTTTTAGGATGCTGGCACCTACATTTCATTAGAGAACTAGTTTTAAACTGAAGAAATTGCATTTTTTGAAAAATATTCCAGCAACAGCCTAGGACGGATTGCGTCAAAATGAAAGGAAAAATTTTGTTAGGCTTCAAGCATCTGTTTGTAAATTTTATTTTCTTCCATTTTGTTTGTTTTTACAGAAGTATGTGTATATGTTTGAGTAAGAACTTTATGGTTGGCCTAATTTGTCATTTTTTCAGTTGCTTCACAGAGTATCTTCTCATACTTTAGCAAGACCCACATCCACAATTCCTGCTTTGGAGGTGGTGTCTGAATATTTTCCCGAGCCAGTGATGATTTTTGCTCATTGTCTTTAAATTTGTTATTTTTCTTGAAATTTCCCCCTCTTTTCCTGATAAAATAGAAATGGATTTCCAATGTGACAAGTTTTGACAGAGGATCTGTGGATCACTGCAGCAATATACAAACCTTTTTTTATAGCATTCAAAGACCAAGGCCTAAAGGACTTTTTTTTTCTGACGCTATAGGTTCTAGGGATGCCACATTTTGCCCAAAAGCTGAAAAAGACAGAAAATATATAGACAAGATAGACAACAATACCTCCAGAATGAAAAAGCACATGAAGCACATGAATAAGCTGCCTTCAGTGCAGTTTTGTCTGTGTTTCCATCTGAGCCTAGTTGAGAATGACTGACTCACTGCAGGCACTGGACATCCTGCTTGCAAATACAACATTTCTCTTGATCTTTTCAAAACTCAGAAGCCTATAAACAATAGGGGATAGAGCCTTATTTGTAAACACAACAAGAAAGAGATTAAAGATAATATTTTGATTTATGAATTCTTCATTTTCTCCAGCTACCTATTATTCGTACTTGAGGGAGCAAAAATGCATTATGCTGTATTTTTTCTCATTCAGCATGCTTTCTGTGTAGGGTATTTACTGCTTTTTTTAACTGGCTGCTTCCCCCTGGTCCTTAATGCAGGTGGCTGCTGAATATTTCAAGAACACAACTTTGCTCCTCATGGGTGTGATTTGTGTGGCAGCTTCTGTAGAAAAGTGGAATCTCCACAAGCGAATTGCTCTACGCATGGTGATGATGGCTGGAGCCAAGCCAGGCATGTGAGTGAACCTTTGGCATTGGGGTAATCTGAGGCTGAGAGCAGCAGCTTGAAACCATTCTGATCTTCAGGGGGAAAAGTTACCTGGGTTTGGGGTATTTTTTATACCCATCTTTCCTTTAAGAGTTTGAAAGCTTACAAATCTTCCCCTCCTTTTTCTGCCACCTCTGACTCCCTGTGTTTCCCTGCGCTGCACTCCAGGTTGCTCCTTTGCTTTATGTGCTGCACCACGGTGCTCTCCATGTGGCTCTCCAACACCTCCACCACAGCCATGGTGATGCCAATCGTGGAGGCAGTGCTCCAGGAGCTGGTGAATGCTGAGGAGGAGTGTGAGGTCATCACAATGGCAGGCAGCACCATTGCTGAAGAAAATAAGCCAATAGGTATTTGTCAGTATTGGCATTCACTCTTTTCTCATTTGTTTGTCAGTGACCAGACTTGTTGATGCATAAAATTGAAATTCTGTTGAGGTCAGATCTGTCCGATTTATACTGCCAAAAACACTGATATGTATTCTTCCTTTTTGTACTCTGCTATTCCTTTCAAAAAATTAAAGGAAATTTTACAAGTGATGGAAGAATAGGAGTTGAAAGCTATTTATACTGAATCAGGGCACCTGCTGTAGCTGTGTGTCATAAACTCTTGGTCATAGGATTTTTCCGGGGTGGAAGGAAACCTTTGGGAAAAAAGTCCAGGAAATTTAGAAGAGGCTCAGAAGTTTTCTCTTGACAATCCCATAATAAAAAATTGATAAGAGCTCTAAGGTTCATTTTGTTCATTCCTTCCCAGAAGAAAAAGGCTGAGGAAGAAAAGAATCTCTCTTTTCTTTCACTTTACAGTTTCCAGCCTGAAAATTATTTCATCCAACCTTGTCTATTATACATAGGTATCGTAGTCTTTTAATTGCCAGATGCACATGATCAATACAATAGAAAATAATTAAATGCCACATCAAGAGAGCACCTGAGACTATTTGGACAAGCTTCTGTTTGCAGCAGCTCCTCCAGGTGCAGGACTATGAGCCAGGGGCTTGGCTCAGTTCTTACCCCAAGGCTGTTCTCTGTTCTTCTGTTGCAGGCCTCGGTGAAAAGCACAGCCAACCTTCCCTGGAGCTTATCTTCATCAATGAGGAGTAAGAATGAACCCTGTACACCAGGACTGGACATTTGATCCCTACACAGGTCGCAATGAGATGAACCCAGGAGTAGAGCAAGGAAGGGCAAGCAAAAACTTGCAAGTGAATGTTTCACATGTGACAGACAAGGAAGGCTTACATGATAGATGGAATTAATGCAGTGGTCTGGATCTGACTAAAACTTCACAGTATTGATTCATTTTTTAACACTATGGATGTTTTAGGGAGAAGGAAAATATTTCTAGAGGTTTGAAAGCTCTTTTGAAATCTGAGTTTGTGCTGTATAAAGAAGTGCCGTCCACAGGTTTTTATTCTGGTCCCCTGAAGGATCAGTGATGAAGAAGATCAAAATAGAGCATGGACTGCTCACAGGACATATCCAGAGGGACATCATTTACAGGGCCTTTCTGAAGAAATTCTGAACTGCCTGCATTTAAGAGAGATGAGAGTGGAGGGCAGGGGGATATGGGGAGAGGGAGAACCCACAAAAAACCACCCCTCCTCCCCTACAAAATTTGTAGAAAATTTCTTTAAATAGAGACACATTTCTTCAGAGGTTTGAAACACTGATAGTTTCTATTTGGGGTAGAATCTAGTAAGGGGAAAAGGTAAATCAAGTAAAGGACTTATTTCTTTGTCAAATTATCTAATTAACCATCAGTTCAAGATATACAAGATGGTATACGCAGCTAATGTTCTAAAAATTTATAATAGGTCAATTCTGAAGAGCATCTTATGAAGTGTGAGAACAAAATTGCACAGTCCCTTTTTGAGCTCCTTCTATATTGTTTGCAACTGCCCAAAATAAAAGAGAAACAAGTTTCTTTTCCTTTAAATTGTTATTTGCCTTAAAACAAATATTATAATAAGAACAGTAGTGGTTGATGACTTTAAATTAACTTGTGAGCTCTAAATAATTTTCTCATTAATCTAGAGACTATTTGGGTCCTCCAATATTCCCTCAGTTTCTCCCAGCCATATCTCTTTTTATCCCATCCCATATTTTCTATGCAATATAGAATCAAATTTTCAGATTGGCATTGTGCCATTAATCCCTTCAACCCTTACTGAAGAGTATATGTGGGATATTTCAAACGTAACTATTATTCAAATAGGATTACTTGGAAAAGAGCTTTAAATTTGGCAGGAAGAGTAGCACGTCTTCTGGAAATTACTTCAGTGGATTGTTTGAATGATCCACACGCCACACAGGGCAGGTTTTAGGGAAGGCTTTAATGTGGTACAGGTAGGTACTCAGAAACAGCATTGGAAGAGTTAGCAGAGGAAGAATTTGACTAGAACAGGCAGCAGTGGTGCTGGACTGCCTGGTGACTGAGAGAGAGAATGGAGTCCTCTCCTGGAATGGGGTAAATACTACCAAGAAACAAACCTTTTCTTGCATGGGGGTGGAACTCCACAGTTACACAGCTAGAGATTGAGCTATGAAACATAACAGTGACTCTTATTGTTTGGCCAAGAGCCCACATAAGAGGTTCTAATAAGTGGTATTCAGCATTTCAGTAGGCACTAGTTCCCCTGCAGATGTTGCCTCTCCTACCCATGATGTGTGCCTCTTGCAGGAGCTGGGTTAACAGGCATTTTAAAAACATATTTCCCTTTCTTTGTTTTTAGTGCTACTACTACTGACTTCAGTTCCCTGATGCACTCAAAGGTATTGTCATAGGTGGCATCTTCTGTGCTAAACTGTCTTCTAATACGGGAGCCAGCAGAGCAAAATGCACACAGCTCTGGAAAAACTGTTGGTCCCTTTATTTCAAATGTGTGGTGGTTTTTGGCAGAAAGTAGGTATTGCAGAATGTCCTGCTTTGTATTCGACCTGTCAGCCTGCTTGCACAAATCAGTCGGGGAACATTAGCTCTGTAACAGCAACAACAGAAGTACAAAACCATAGAAGTCTGTTGTACTCCTTGCTGGAGATCCTGAGATCCGTCAGTGAACTAACAATTCCATATGGGTTATAGCAAAATCAGATATGATCTTTTGTTGTTCCAGTATTGCCAGCTTCTGAAACTGAGAATTCTCAAGTTGCTACAGCAGCCTGCACATATCACAAAGCTACAGGCTCAAGGGACCTGTTAGAGTCACCCACATGACAGAGGGAGACCTAATCTGACTTTAAAATCACCAAAAAAAAAAAAAAAAAAAAAAAAAAAAAAAAAAGCAGGTGGTTTAAACATATTTCCCCCCAGTGTAAAATTAAAAATTAACAGCTGATTTTAGTGGGTTGGATTTTATTGTAGTTTTGGATCCTTTTTTTCTTTTTCCTTTTTTTGTCCCCAAAGCCTGCCACCCAGTACCTTTACAAAGCATCACAAATTCTATTCCAAGTGCCCCTAGGAACACAAGAAAGGCTAATCCAAAGGCATTTTCCTCCTTGCAGAGTATGAATGGTGTGCACATGCTAGCCAACTCTATTGGAACAATGAATTCTACTAGCAATGGGCAGCACCTACCTCAGGTAAGGAGATGTTAGACCCTGGGGTAAGGCAAAAGATAGATGTGGATATCACCTGCTCCCTGCTGTTTAATATTTGTTCCTTGAAAGGAATCATTCTCCATTGTCTCAGCACAGCCACAGCTTCGCCCTTTTCCAGTTCTTGCTCCCATTTAGATGCACCCAGCACATGTTGTTCAGAAGACCCTTCCCCAATGGCTGGGACAATTCATTTAGCTTTACATCCAGTAATGTGATCACGAGTTTCCTTTATTATTTGACTGTAATAGCCAATTTGTTTCTGCAAATCCTCCTTGGAAAATAGCCCAACTCAAAAATAAAAACCCCTGGCACACAAAACCTTTCTCAGAATGAAAAAAAACCAGACCATTAATCTGTTCAGCCATTTTGTTAGGTATTCTTAATATCCACTTCCTTTTGGTCTTCTAAAATAGTCCACCTCAAAATCCTCAATTAAGTCAATTCATCCAAAATACCCAACCTCAAAATCCTCCATTAAATCAATTCATATTTCTACTTGTCTTGAGTGGATCCAAGAAGAGATTGATGATGACAATTCTGTAGTGTCCTAATGGCATTAATTTATGTCCATGAGAGAATAGGCTAAGATCAATATATGAATTTGCATTCACAGTTCAAAAATAAATTAAAATAAAAATTAGTAAATGTAACAAATCTTTCTGAACCACTTGCTGCCTTTTTCCTCATTTTTAAATTACAGGTTGCATGAGAAGTACCTTGAAGTACTGTACATTTTTTCCCAGTACAAGGAACACAGACATTTTCCTGTCACTGAGATGAAAACTTCTTTTGGAGCAAAATTTTCTGGCATCTTTTCCTTCCATATTCCCTTTGCTCAGCCTTTTCCATGTTGTTTTGAGGTCCTTAGCACTCCATCCCTAGAGGCCCTGAGCCAGTTTAAGTGTGAAAAGTTCACCAAGCCTTTGTGTGGTGGCTGCTCCTAAGCCTCAAGGATTATGGATTCCTTCTGCTTAGTGCTGGCACCCTGTGCCTGCAGCCCTCAAAGGCTTTTGGTATCCCACTGATATTCCAGTCAGACCTGCAGCTGTCCCAAACCTTAGCCAGAAGTCTGATTACTGCTTGTCCTACATTTTTGTCACAGACCATTTTTAGGTAATTTTGGGCCCTCGGACAAGTTTCCAGAACTGATCCCAGTTAATCTCTGTGAAAAAAAACCTGTCCTCTCTTACACAAACCTGTTGCTTGTCTCGGCTCCGTATCTGTAGGGAGCACTGTGCTCCAGGACGGCTTTGATGAATGGAGACAAGAGATCTCTGAAGGCTGCTCTTGGGATATAAGGTTTATTAGGGATGGTGAAAGGTCTTGCTTGGAGCTGCCAGATGCAGCACATGGCAAGGCTTGAGGGGATGGGGGAGGGGAGAGACAAGGGGTAGAGAGGATGCTCCAGGAGAGGGTGGAAGTTCTAAGAGAGCAGGGATTCCAAGAGAGGGGAGTTCCAAGAGAGGGGAAGATCCAAGAGGGCGTCTGGCCCCTTGGAGACCCCTTATCAGGGGGCTTCAAGGTGGGCTGGAACGAGACTTGGGCCAATGGGGTCACAGACACTTGATGTTTCAGGGGAGGGTTACAGGTGTGGGATGAACCATACATTTTGGGGCGTGAGATGGAACAGCCCATTTGACTTTTGAACCTATCTGTAGGTAAGGGTATTGTCCAGCCAGTAGGGGGGATTGTTTTCATCCTGGCTGTACTATTGTGAATCTTCTGCCAGGCAATTATATTTATCCATCCTTTCCAACACGTATCATTCTGGCATTAGAGTGAGCTGGGCTGCTGTTCTGATCACCTGCTTTGCTTGTGAATATGTCCCCTCACAGGCTCAGATCCTGGTCCTGCCCCCTGAGCCCTCAGATCCTGGGCTGAGCAGCAAGTACCGGTACCAGAGCAGGCACGACCACATGGTCTGCAAATGCCTCTCGCTGAGCATCTCCTACGCGGCAACCATCGGGGGGCTGACCACCATCATAGGCACCTCCACCAGCCTCATCTTCCTCGAGCACTTCAACAAGTAAGTGGCACTGGGATTGGTGAGAATCACTGTCATCCCTCTGGGTCATTTCCTGCCTTAAGGAACCCTAGTAAGAACACTCTCTGAAGGAAAGTTTGCTTCTTCCTCTGCTCTAATGTTATTACCAATGGTTAATGTTTGAAATGCATACCTAATGTCTTTCTTTCATGCAAAGTAAAAACTCCTCAGTGTGGTAACATTGAAGTTTCTGCAGCAACTTCTTTTGATTTGATATAGTGATTATCATGAAGGGAGCAGAAAAGTGAACACTAAAGCTATGAATATAGAGCAGAGAAGACAAATAAATACTTGCAAAAGAAGAAATTTCATAAAAACAGCTGCTCAACATGTAGTGCAAAAAAACCCAAACAACCAACTTAGATATGTGGCCTTATGCATTTTCTTCAGAGAAGATGAGAAACAACTCTCTGATTATCTAAGTATTTCCTTTATCATTAGCCCAGGGATCTCAAAGACATGAATGTTTCAATGTCAGAAACATGAATGCTTTTCTGTCAGGAGATAGTGGCACTTCTCATGCACAGAAACACATCCAAGCTCACATCTGATTCTGACCATCTCCTGCTACCACTACTGCCTTGATATCTCTCATTTCTCTCTCTTAAAGAGAGAAGACTAAGTTCAGAAGTCATGCTTAATGCACAGATTTGGATTTTACAGAATTTTCCAAGATCTTGCATTTATGACAGTTGCATCAAATGCAAACATCCAACATCTTTGTCAGAGCACAGCAGAATGTAGTCTATATTTGTGTGGCCTATGAGAAGACATAGAAAGAGGTTCTGGGTGAAATCATTCTGAAGACTGCCAACCCTAAAAGAAGTTTTAATATAAGTCACAGATAGGGATGGAGTTTCACTTCAGGTATCTCCAAGTGTTTTTGAAGCTGGCCAGACAATCCAGACCATCTGGTGTTAAAGGTTTGGAGAGCTACACTGTTTGTTGATTTCACTCTGCATAGGTAATGGAGCTGTTGCAAATGCAAACTGATGGAATTTTTCTGTCACCCCATGACAGATATATATGCCCATAGATGTGTATGCAACTAGGTCTGTTGGAGGTCCCTGTCCCTTTACTATTCTAACTGTTCATGCATCCTCTTTTTTAATTCACAGCCAGTACCCAAAAGCTGAAGTGGTGAATTTTGGAACCTGGTTTCTGTTCAGTTTCCCCATCTCCCTCATCATGTTGGTGTTGACTTGGTTCTGGCTGCACTGGCTGTTCTTGGGCTGCAAGTGAGTGAAAGTTGTTCAAGATATACAGATTACAAAAGCAGGGCATCTGCAGCTCCTCTCAAAAGTGTTTCTATAAAAAAGTTTTGACTGGCAAATTACAGGATTTAAGGCACAATTTCCTTCTTGTTGCCAGAACAATTGCCAGAGGAAATCTCACTGCTTAGCTGCCCTGCATAGACAGCAGTGTAGAGTATTGCTGCTTGAGATTGAAGTGCAGGTATAGATGATAGAAATGTATACTAAGCACTCAACTGGTTTGGGATTTTTTTTTCACTCTTAAGACAATGAGGATTTTGTGGATCAAGTATTTTGTTATAACTACTTTTAGAAAAGCGCAGTTTAAAAGATTAATAGAAAAATAACTGCAAGTGAACAAGTCACTTTTCAGGTCTTCTTCCAGCTCAATGAAATTAACATAAAATCAATTAAAATTAAAGGTAAATAGACTCTATATATATTTCTCTTTAAAGTGGAAGGGACTCACAGCCTAAGAGACAAATACATTTAATACCAGTCCCTAAGCCCCAAAATATAAAAAAAGTTTCAGTCTTCTAGTTCATTTGTACCACATATTGTCTTCACAAAGTTAATGGAAACTGCCTAAATGTATGCATTTAGAATGGATTTGTTAATCTGCATTGAATTGTGATGCAGACACATTTACTCTGAATTAAATTTGCCTTAATTTGGTTTAGTTCACTCTTAAAAGTAAACTGATTTGACATCACTATTTCACCCTGGACAATGAATTAATTGATAATGAGTTCTGCTTGCTGTTGACCTTGACTAGGTATGAAGAAGTAATTTAGAGGTGAATGGCTCCATGCCCCTCTCAGTCAGTCTCAGAGTCTTATAATTTCAAATTAAAAGGCTAATATAAATTCCCTCTGCCACTATTTTTTTAATCTTGAGAAGAAACAGGTCCTAACATGACCCTCAATTAATTTCGTTTGAAAAAAAAATTGAAATTCCACATTGCATCCAAGACTTCATGCTGATTAATGTTGTTCTAAATAATACCAGAGACTGAAACAGTATTGACTTTTTGAGAAGTACTAGTTGATTCCAAGGCTCCTTAATCTCTGACTTCTATTCACTGCACTTCATTAAAGAATATATTATATTGGGAGCTGGGCTTCAATTCTCTGCCTTCACATCCTCCTGAGCCTGGAAACACTTAGAATATGTTGAAACAGCTGCCTAATGCTTGTGCATAAATGTTTAATGAGTTCCCGTAATGTTATTTTCCTAGGCAGCCCTGTGCCATCAATCTGTTATTGCTTGCCTTAGCTGGAACAGCATTTCAGACAGGTCAAGGGTGAAAGAGAATGGACTCACCAAAGGATCATTGCTAGAAAAGAAGAGATAAGGGTAGAAGTTACTACAGAACTGTTCTTTATAAACCACATATCTCTTCTATTTCAGCCTGGAGGGCTCTTCCAGCCTTGTCTCTCCCTGCTGGTAGATTTTACTAAAGTCTAACAGCAAGATTTGCAAGGAAATTTAAAATACCCATAGATGAAGGGCAGTGCAAAGTGAGCTAAAAAAAATGTGTTACATATTTGCCCATGTGAAATGAAAACACTGGTTAAGTCCTTTTGTTGACCAGTCCTTTTTTTTTGCATCTTGAGCGATGCAAATTCCTTTGCAAGTCTGGCCTTAAGCAGATACATTGAGAGAAGTCACAGTTCATGGCTTGGCCAGTGCTAGAGCTGGGTGCCTAGTGAGGTACTCAATGGGATATTAAAATAGCAGGAACCATAAAAGCACCTATTATCACCTTAAAGAGCTACAAAAGTTGTGCTGCCATGATACCTGAGTCACTTCTGCTGCCTCTTTTAGACTGGCTTAGATCCTGTTACACCTCTGTGTGACAGAGGGTACAGCTGGTGTGACATCCGTGGCTCAAAGCACAGCTAGGTAACACTTCTGGAAATAAGAAAAGGAGAGGGTTAAAGTGAGCCTGAAAGCATCTTAATTTCAATCAAATGAAGGAAAACTGAATAAACTAAAGGATTCACTTAACATCCATACAAGTGTATAGGAGGATCAATATATCTAGCTAGGAAATATGATAGTTTTCATGTCCCTGGCAGAAGTACAGGCATCTTTCACCTGAACAAAATACCAAGCTGACTCCCCTGGCCTCTGTGGTGCTTTTCTGGCTGTGCCTGATTAATAAATAAGTATTATTATGACAGTATAAGCAGAAGCAGACAGGTCGTGGCAGCTAATGGGATCCCAAGCATAGCTTTCCCTCCTTATGAATCCTGAATATTCAAGGCAAATATGGTCTCCAAAGCCAGACCAGGCCCCAAATATGTTGAATAACCCTGATCCAGGAAAGCATAGTTAGCCCATGAAAAATTTCTATTGATAGCTGACCTCTGTCACAATCCTTCCACGTGATGATAGACACTAGCCATAGTTTCTGGAGGTTTCTGGCAGCTCTTAGAGGAAGCCTACGCAGAGGGAGCCCAGCCATGGCTCAAGAGGCTCAAGATGGCTCAGTGATACCAATCAGCACTAGTCAGAGCACCCTGGGGACCTTCCAACTATGTCTAGAATAGAATCTTAAAAGAACTTAAAAGAACTGAAACCAGATTAATCAAATATCATGCTCAGTAATTTCCTTTCCCATTGCCATCAGTCCTTGCCTCAGTCACATCTTCTCCCAACAGTCCCTGATACCAGAATTTTCAGTCTATCTCATTGCTGGGGTTTTTATTTTTAATTACCTTCCCCCCTCCCCTTTATGCCCTTGCCTAATTTTATTGTGCTATCTCAGTTTTGAAGAGACTTGTTCTGTGAGCAAGAAGAAGAAGACCAAACGAGAAGAAATGTCAGAGAGAAGAATTCAAGAGGAATACAAGAAACTGGGAAACGTTAGGTAAAAACGTTGGGAGTTTGTCTCTCATTGTCTCCTATTGCCCTCCATGTTGCCTTGGACTCATGTAGCTTATTTTAATGCTCTCAGCTCTTTTTCCTCCCCTCCAGGAAAGAAATAGAACAAAATGAAAAGATGAAAACATGAACTAAAATCAAAGACTTTGTTACAAGCATGCATGTTAACATTTAACTCATTTCTGAGGAAAAAGGAAAAGAAAGAAAAGCATGCAAGTTTATTCCAGGGTTCAAAGGTCACCTGAGTCCAGGTTTGTCTTTGAACCCTAAAGGACCCTTTCTCCTAATTCAGGCACATACCTATTTTAGTGGATATAAGTTCAAAAAAGGGCTATTCCCATGCCATGAGTTGCCCAGCCTTCCCAGTTGCTCATAATATTAATGCATGATGGCAAGAAATGTCTCTTGGAAAAATTATTTGGCAAAATTTTCATTTTCAAAGGGGCTGATATGGCACAGAATTCCTTCTTCACAAAAGGTTTTTTTGCTGTTTAACTGAAATATTGACAGATCAACTGCCTGAATATGATGAACTCTGGAGCTAAACTGTTGCTCAGGCTGTGCCTAAATATGAAATCACTCTTAATTTAAATCTGTGCTAAATTAAAAATCCTCAAGCCACCTCAAGTATCCTCAAGTCACCTTGTGTGCACCATCTGTGCTAATTTACATTGTCATTTGCTCTTAGGCTTTCTACCCTTTTGAAAAATGTGAGAGAACGTGTTTACAGTGGAATGCTAATATGAACTTCACCTTTTTAACACATTTAATCAGATAATAATGCAAATACAAAACAAGCATTTAGAAATATTTTCCTTCAGGTCTTGCCCATGAATGATTGAATTGCAAATGCAGATGGATATTTTTAGCTTATTTCTTACCATGTTTAAATGGTTCTCAGCTGGGAGCCAAATCTAAAATTCTTTAATTCAAACTAATCCTCCTTGCTATTTTTCATATGTTTTTTATCCTATTTTAAAGCCAGTTTCTGCTTTCTTATTTACTTCTTGAGTTTTCAGACAGACCTTGGAATTACTTCCTTGCTTTCTCTGTTTTTTCTTTCTAGCTATCCCGAGATGGTGACTGGATTCTTCTTCATCCTGATGACCTTGCTTTGGTTCACTCGTGAGCCTGGCTTTGTACCAGGATGGTCATCCTTTTTTGAGAAGTGAGTAAAATCCCCCAAACAGCTGCACAGGAGTACAACTTTGCTTCTTCTGACTTTCTGCTTTCTACTTTTTTTTCCCCTACTACACCATCAGCCACATTTAATGAAGCAGTGAAAAATAAACTTTTCATTCAAAAATTAGGATTTTTTTTCCGTAAATTATATCTGTCTGTGTAGTGAAAAATTTTATTCTTTCTCAGTATTCAAAGTGAGCTAAGTAGAGAAAGTAAATGAAACAATTTCAAATGTGAAAGAGTAAGAGGGTCAGATTCTGAGCTTAAGATATTTTAGTGCATTCATAAAGCAGTTTTCACTAGAATATATTGCAACTATAATTGAAAATAAAATTTTTGACAAAGAGTGTTTTATCAAGAAAATATCCATTCAGTTAAATATTGCTGAGAATGGTGAGCTGAAGCAAATAATTTTTCTTTTATTTTAAATAATATTGAAATGACTTACATTAAAGCTTACTGTAACACACTTTGCATATCAAAGAATAAGCTATTTGAATGTAATTTATATTACTACTGTATAAAATTACTTTTATTTTTTCATTCCAGTTTCAACAGAAAAACAATTCCTAATACTGTGATTTTCTGATGAGCACTGGAGTTTGGCACTCCTCAAAATACTTTTACAGAAAGAGTTTTAAACATTTAATTTCAAATCAATCTACAGTTCATTTCTAAAGGATCACTTGGGTTTGGCTTTTCCCCAGAATGTGTTTACTGTTTCTTACACTACAGTAAACATGCTATTTTTTTGTACCTCCAAGTTAATGGATTTGTAAACCAAAAGGGATTATTTTTTTCCAACCAGAATACTAAAAATTGTTGAGCTGTGATTGAAGTTGCCTACCAGAAACAGTTTAATAAATTGGAAAAAAGTCCAATTTGTACCCTTGATATGCAGGCATATTTTTCTAGTGGGCTGTTAGCATGACTTCAGATGTGGGAATACAACTGCACCTGCAGAAATGTGCTTGGAGCTATGTACCTGGTCTGGAAATGTTTCTGTTAATGTGTTTTTATTTTTATTGCTATTTTTTTCTTAGGAAAGGTTACCGGACTGACGCCACTGTCTCTGTATTTCTTGGGTTTCTCCTTTTCCTGATTCCAGCAAAAAAGCCATGTTTTGGGAAAAGGAGAAAAGGTGAGGAGAATGCAGTAAGAAAGAGAACTGGTACATTTTGCAATGTCTAATGATTTTTTTTTTATATGTAAAAAGTTCCAAGAAGATACTTTTGTGTTGGCACGTAAAGGTTCAGTTTCTCCTCTGATACCAGTCCTTCCTACATCAGACCCCTTTTTCCTCTGCTGTAATTCATATTTTCTCATCCAGAGGATGACAAACAGGTCTTGAATCTGAGACTGCTGCCACTTCTGTGCCAACAGAGTTATTAGACTTCAGGACTGAGGACTGGGCTTTGGGAAAGGTTTAGATGGAGTTCCATATTAAAAAACTATAATACAAAATCAGCTCAAGACTAACCCCAGTAAAAAAATGAGTCATCACTCATACAGTGGAAATCACTGCAATGTCTTAAGATAAATATAAAGGAGGTAATAAAGTGCCAGACAATATTCTAATTTTGTGCAATGCATCTCTTATAGTCCTTTTGATAATGAGATTATTTCATTTGTGTTTGGGTAGCACTCAGTGGTTTAATCAGTTTGCTGCACCAGTTTTTCTGCAGTGCTGTATGAAAGTAGAATTGTCTGCACAGTCTTATGTAAAGATTATAAATTTATAGAAACATATATTTTTATGCTGTTATATCTTGTACAGGTTTTAGGAAAATATGACACTCTCTGACTCCTCCTTTCAGAAAATACTCAGGCACTAAAAAAAACCCTAATGTCCTCAGATAAAATCTAGGGGCCTAAACACACTTTAATCAAGCATCATGGCCTACTTCATAGCCCTTCTTTGATAATATAATCCCATTGTAACACCATCTCTGGGGTCTACAGATATATGCACATGCATACCCCAACACAGCACACAGTCCCTCAAAAAGCTGTAACATGAGAACACAGGGGTTTACAAATATTTACATCAATGGAGCAGCCAAGGCAAAGTCAGGATGTTTGGAATTAATACGCTGCATTTTGTGAGGCCAGGCTATCAAGAGAAACAGGCTACGCACTGTCTCTTTGCCTCTCTCTCAGGCAGTCCATGCATCTTCAATAAATTTCTACTCTTGTGAAAAATGTGAAGGTCTTTGCAAAAAAGGCAGTATAATACTGGTCACACACCTTATTTGATATAGGAAATGGTGAAAAGTCAGCAGAAATTAAAACACTGGAGCCCATCATTACCTGGAAGGACTTTCAGAAGACCATGCCCTGGGAGATTGTAGTGTTGGTTGGAGGAGGTTATGCCTTAGCAGCTGGATGCAAGGTACTGGTGTAGATTTTTTATTTTATCCTCCTTCCTAAACATATTATCAACCTGCTCTTGTATTCCTTTTTATGCTCCCCAGTTTGGATTTATGATGTGGATACTTACAAGTTTGCACCTAATGTAGTGGGCAGCACTTCCTGCACTCAATGTATGTCTTTCTTGCTATTTATTAAACACTTCAGTAAAATCTAATTTACTGAGCAAAAGGAAATGCAGAAAGCATTTACCTGCACTTTGTTTATTTGCTGGTGGGAGTCTCTGCTGTAAACTGCCACAGAAAGAAGAATCTATTTTACAAACATACCAAGTATTTAGTAATTCTTGTGCTTCTGTCCTTCCTCCAGATCTCTGGCCTCTCTACATGGATTGGACGTCAAATGCTCTCCCTGAGCAGCCTTCCCTCCTGGGCTGTAACTCTGCTGGCTTGCATTTTGGTGTCCATGGTAACAGAATTTGTTAGTAATCCAGCAACCATCACCATCTTTCTGCCTATTTTATGCAGCATGGTGAGTTAAAAGAGTGACATTTTTAGTTTGTTGTTTCCTCACAGGCTTGGGGGAATTTTTCAGGATGTCAGGGTCTTGGCACTCCTGTCCACTTGAAACCCAGCCTCAGTTCCCAAGCTACTGTTCTGTAGTCTTGAAACTAGGAAAAGTAATATAATTGGTCAGCTAAAAGTATATTTTAGCATAATGAAATTTTTAATACCTCTCAAGGTGCACTGAGGAATTCATATGCCAGGTACAAGAAAAGGTGACTATGGAATTAACAAGTTAGGTGAATTTCACATAAAGCTTGAGATGCTTTTGTCAATGTTATTTTAAATGTCTTGTTCATTATTTAGTAGTCACCTCCTCCCTGTTTGTGAGAAAAGAGTGGAGTGCCAAATTTTATTTCAGATTTAGAAGTGTTCAAAGGGTTGATCTGGTAAGCATACTTGTCTTTCACCATGGAAAGCAGAGATGTTTGTAAAGGGCAGAAAAAATCAGGATGCTATTGACAAAGGTAGAAGAAAGAGAGAGTAATTAAATTTTATATTGGAATAGCAGTTACAAAAAATTTCCTTTTTTTTCCCCCTTAATGTAATGTGAAACTTTTCTGTCCAAGAATGGAGGTCATGAATCATCTTTCCCTATTATAACTATTTTGTGGGATTGTCCCAAATCATATTATGTGAACAATTCTGAGTTAATATTAAGATGTGGTCAGATCACAATATGTAATTGTCTTTCTGTGGCTTAGGAGTTCAGATTTGCTCCTGCTCCATGCAGAAAGAGATTCTCCTGAAAAATAATTAGAGCAGTAATCTACTTGTAGCAAGAAATGCCATCTTAAGGCAGACTCTCTTTTCAGATTGCAAAAGTAACCTGGAGACACTTCCCTCCCCAAAATGCCTGTAGCCTTGTTTATCCTTCCCTTTCTGTTATTCCTTCCATATAAAACTGGACCAAAGCAATGCAAATGAAAATGGAAAATTTCATCACCACTGAAAACTGAATTCTTTAGCCCTCTGTAAAAAATATTCCATCATCTCTGCCTTCTCACCATGCAAATTTGGATCATGAAGATCTGGTTCTCTCAACCACTATTCAGGAGGACATAACATAATGGTCTCAGCATATTCAGCAACTGGAAGAAGCAGGTTCTTTGTGTTATGTGACTTCTTGTGGATGAAGACTGAAGCAGCAGCCAGTGTTAAGGTCCAGAAGACACAATACAAAATGACACAGAGAACAAGTGGGAGAAAGAGCAAACGTGTTCTATTAGTAGCAAACTCCACCCTCCCTCAGTGTGAAATGCCTCAAGAGAGATCCCTGGAGCATGACCAGCTCAAAATTATGGCATTGCTCTAAAAAAAAAAACTCAACCAACCAAAAAATACTTTCATGCTTAAGTTTAGAAATTAGGCAGGTGAGATTCACAGCAGAGAGGGTCCTTTCATAGTCACTGTCAGCCATGACTTTATTACTTGGGTGAAACACCTCTCTGCTTCTGTTCTTCCAGTCAGAAACCCTGCTTATCAACCCTTTATACACCCTGATTCCTGTCACCATGTGCATTTCATTTGCCGTGATGCTGCCTGTGGGTAACCCTCCAAATGCTATTGTCTTCAGTTATGGGCACTGCCAAATCAAAGATATGGTGAGTCTTGGCACTGGTTTTATCCTCCCATGCTTCATACAACTTCAACACAATTCCCACATCAAGCAGTCAATAACAATAACAACAACAACAACAACAATAATGATAGCATTATTATTATTATTATTATTATTATTATTATTCTAATTCATTGGTGCAATAATAATGACTATATTGCTGCTAATATTAAGTAGTGATGTCTGCACTGCTCTTACACAATAGAGCTGTCAGGTTAAGAACAACCGCAGATCTGCTGTAGGATGCACACATTTCTTATTTGTATTTTTTTTTTATGAATGTAATGGGCTGAAGAGCTTTAGGAGTATACAATCCTTTTTTCACTGACCTACTAAAACAAGCGCAAGAGAGCATAAGAAATTGGATTTATCACCTAGCTCCACAGCAAGTCTTGTATCACTCTGTTATGTGTGGTTTAACTCCCCATTCTGATTATCTGACTGAGAAGTCCAAGTGATAAACTGAGCAGTTCACAATGAACTGCATCAGTCACTAACCTGAATATCATTCCTGAATACTCCAACATACACCCTGACACATATGCTCTCATTTATGCTTTTTTTTCTCTAGAAATCACTATACATATATTATCACACTATATATGACTCAGTATAAATCCTACTACCTTTTTTTTTCTTCCTATGTTAACTGTTTGTGATTTAGTTCCTCTGATGCATTTTGTTTTTGCAGGTGAAAGCTGGCCTGGGTGTAAATCTGATCGGCCTGGCTGTTGTCATGGTGGCCATCAACACGTGGGGAATTAGACTGTTCCAGCTGAACAGCTTTCCAGAATGGGCAACAGTCAGCAACATCACAAGCCAAACATAATTTTAAATGACAAAAAGAGCAAAAGTGCAAGACCAAAGTTAGAACAAAATATTGAACCTACATTTCACATATGAAAGAAAGAAGGCAGCTTGAACCAGGATCCATTGTAAAACCGTGAAGAAAATCCACTGGGAGGTCTTCTGCAACAGCTTTTCAGTTCTGAAAATTAGCGTGAGTTAAAAGGAGAGATTAGCTTTGCTCTGTTGTTGCTTTCTCTGGGATACCATAACTCAGAAAAAATCCACTCCTCAAAGTTATTTGCCTATAGATTTTCATGCCTTAGAGTAGTTAGGTAGGATTTGTATGCAGGACTCCAGTGGCAGAAGACAAGTGCACATACACTGGAGTACTCAGCAGCAGCAGATTCAGTCCTACACTGAATGCAGGGTGAGCCTTATTGCCAAATCCAGAGTTTTATAAGCCTACTTCTTTTGAAGGCAAATCATTCTTTTGAGATGACTCATCACTATTTTGCAAAAAACATTTTTCCACCAATGACCTAGACAGAAATCCAGCTACCAACTACCAGTTACAGCATTTCAAAGGGATAATAGAAACCTCCAGAGAGGAAGGAGAAATCTCCTTGGAAGGAGAATATGGGTTTTTTTCCACACAGCACTAGTATAAATTTCCAATATTGCAGTACTTGCAGTCTCGGCTTTGGAAGGAAGAGTTTCAGGAACAGAAAGTTTTGTTCAAGACCTTCTTCATCATTACTGCAGCAGGAGTTCTTTCAGCAGGGGAAGCTGTGACCAGCAAAACCATACCAGGCCAACACCCCCAGTCACTTTCCTGTCTCTTGCTGCTGTTTAGTTATGCACTTATGATTCCCCTGACTGAGAAAGTCTCATCCCTGATGGCACTCAGTGCTGCTCCATGAGTAAGGGAGAGGGCTGAAGTGGAGTGGTGCTGGTGTATCTCCCCATCCTGTGCATTCACTGGAATCTCACATTCCCTGCTCTCTAGCAGCCCAGAGAGCAGGAACTTCAAATGTAGGAAACTGTGGCATAGAGTAAATAACTACCAAGCCAAAAGGCCAATCTCTTTATCTCTCATCAACAAAGTGAATGCTCTGCTTTCCTCACTGGGTCCCTGTGACACTCATTAATTCCTCTCATGTATTATGTCCAGTTTTTAATAATTTCTTTAATGTCAATACATTTAAGATGTATATTAGAATGATTTAATCTCAAGTAATTACACACACACACTTTAATGAACTTTTATGCTTTCCACTTTTAATCTAGGCTCTCTAGATGTGAATGTATTCTGCAAAAATAAAATGTCAATAAAATAAATTATTCACTACTGCATATTCTGGTGCTCCATGTGCATACAAATTGGATATATTTCACCCATAACCCACCAAACCCATAAAGAATCGGTGTTGAGACAGCAGGAGGTTTTGGTTTACTGCTTGTGTCAAAACAAAGGGATCCCACAGAATCATCTTGGAAATAAACAGATACAACAAAAGGTTGGCAGAGGGGAGAAATATGGGAAAAAACAAAAAGCATGTCTTAGCCCTTGTTCCAAAAGCAGGAAGCTGCATCCTTTAGCAAAACAATTGCTATTCCTGGTAGATCCTGTACATTTCATTTCGAATAGCAAAGTGTTTCTGTGCATCAGTCACTTGAAGAATCCCCATGACTCCCAGTGCATAAAACAAGACCTTGGTCTCACTTTTTCAACTCCTCTCCCACCTCACCCGTTCCTGTGTTCCCCCCACCCTGAGCTGCTGCTCTGCTGCACTCCAGCACACAAAGCTCACCAAGCTCTGCCATGAGGAGCCTCCTCACCCTGTCTGCTCCCCTCCCTGGGTGTTTCTCTGCTCCCCAGCAAGAGGCTGCTCTGAGCACAGACCCCAAAATGGTGCTTAAAGCAGAGGCACTCTGGCCTCCCCTGACACGAGCTCCATCCTGAAGCCCCAGGAGCAGGAGAGGAAGGGGCTGCAATGTCTGTTCACCAACATGGGCAACTTCCTCCAGGACAAGCACCACACTGGGTGGGTGTGTCTGCAATACCAAGTTTTGCCCCTACACACAGCAAGCAGAACATCTCTTTTTTTACAGTACCTAAAGTTACTTTTGACCATTCTCCCCCTGCCAAGAAACTCTGGCTTGCTTTCTTCCTAGGGCTTTAGCTGCTCTGCACCTTTTACTTGCACTCAATCTTCTGATCCTTTTCACTTCATGCTTCATCCACCAGCATCTTCCAATTGCTTTGCTGCTCAGCAACAAATCACTGTCTGCCCTCCCAATGCTGATTTCTCAGCTCTGCTCAGCTCCCATCACACCCTGCTATCCCAGAGATTTCCCAGGGGATATGAACACGGGGTATTCTCATTCGTGAGAGATGAGCAGCTGGCATTCCAGCCAGCCTTAGGGAGACCTGGGATTACTCACAAATCAAACAGTGTCCAGCAATGCTCTTCAGTAAGAACAGCAATAGCAGTAGGTAAATGAAATGGCTTGGTGCTCTTGCACACCTCAAATAATATTTCTTCAGAAACATTACCAGGAGGCTCTGGCATAGCTTGTGTCTCACGAGATTGGTACAGAGGCATTTGGAGCGGACTCAGGCAAGGAACTTCCCCAACAGACTGTTTCTCCTGTTTTGGTGCTCTTGGCATGCTTCCACATTCACAGCTGCTGGCACTTGTCACTGCCATGTCCCACCAGGTGATGCGTGAGGCAGTGGTTCTGGGATGTAAAACCAATTAACATTCATGTTAGTGAAGTTCTTTGAGGTGCATCCACCAACTTTATTTGGGTTCTGGTGCCCAATAAGCTAATAATTAGCTTTGCTGTCTGGCTTTTTGTTTATTTTGATTATTAACTCTTGACTGTTTAATGGCAGAAGAGCCTTAGGGCAGCATTTTCCAACACAGGATAATACTCTCAACCCACAGCACAGGTTTTAGAAGTCTGTCAGTAGCTCATATATTCTTTTCCTCCCATTTTGCCTTGACCCTTCAGCTGCAGACTATATCTCAAAAGAATTAACATAACTTTTCAGGAAAGTAAGGAAGCCTGCATATTTTAGCTGGCAATTTCAGGTATCCACATAGGCATTTGAAATGGGCAGACATTCCTAGAGTCCATTTAAGTAGGAAACTTGCTCCTAGGTAACTTCATGGAGCATCTATCTTTTGTGTCCTGCTATGACACCAGTGCATCCAAAGCATTCTGAGCCACCAAATGCAAGACCTGCATCAAGCACTGCATCTGTGCTCACCCTCTGCCCTCTGAAAGATAAGGTCACATTTTAGTATCACCTAGACAACCTCAGGCTAGGTAAAATGTGTTATGCAGCAGTTCCAAAGTCCACATCAGCTGTTACAATGTTATCCAGAGTTACAGCTTACTATGTGGGAGGAAAAAGCCAGCTTGAGCTAAAATGGATGGTGTCAAAGTGTGAAACACCTCAAAAATTCTGTATTTAATATTAACGAGCATATATTGTTTCCACAGCATTGCAGCTGCAGCTTTTCACTTACTAATGTGATAGGGCACAAAAAAAAAAAAATTCTAACATCTGTCTGGAATGCTTAGCTGAAAGAGTTATCTCCAAAAACACTTTTAGAGTAACTGGCCTGTTTGGCAACAAATACAGAGATTTTGAACATTATTTCACTTCTCATCCCCATGTAAAGAAAGGGAAGAATATAAAGTATGTTTGAGCAAAGAAATAATCCTATTTTAAACACTATTATAATTTCACATGGCAAGCAAAGAAAAATGAATGGGTTAGAGACAGTGTTTTTCAATGCTCAAGAGTAGGAATGGGAGGGGAGGAAGAGAAATTTGGGGGAAGCTTTAATTCATCATGTTCATGAAAACATCGAAACAGCTATGCAGCACTATCATTCTAGGGAAATGTTTTTGGGCCTGACTGAAAATTCTCTCAGGTCTGAAGTCTGAAGGTAATGGATATCTCTCTGGGTATCTTCCATACATGCTGCTACCACAGGTGGCTGGGTTTAGGTGGTACAACCATTTCTCCCTGTCAGAGTTTCGTGGACCGTTTCCTGTAGAAAAAATTGGTTGCATCACTACTAAGATTATCTGACTTGATTTGGCTTTTAAACTTAACAAATAACTCTTTGCAAAGATTTTTATGTCAGCTACACATTTCAGGCCAGAGGTGAAAGGAAGGATTTAAAATTACAGGAGAAATATTCCTTATATATATATTTATATTGCTTAAGAAGGAGAATCTTTGCATGCATCTTTCCTCTGTTTCAGGAATGCACTGTAGAAGAACTGTCACCTCCAAACTCTGGCAAAGGATGCAAGTGTTTGATGTATGGTACCCTGTAAATGTGTCTTTACTGATCCAGTGAGAACTCTGCACTTGGAGTCCACTCAGATACATCCAAATTAAAGGCTTTGGGGTAGAGGGTGAAAATTACAATGGGTACATAGACAGTTCTGTACTTTGAAGCTATGTTTACATCAAACAGTACATTTCATTGACAAAGCAAGACAATTAGTGCCCAGAGCTTGGGTTTTTTTTCCTTCTGAGTGCCCCTAGACTTGTCTAATGGACTAAACACCCATCAGATCAAAGCATATCTTCTGATTTAGTCTTTTCTGAGAGGAATACAGACCATGTCTCCTACAGTTTTCCTATGATGAGAATGAAAACATAGTAGAAGGACAAACCACTTTTAAGGCACAATCCTCATCCTAATTAAAACATTAACGGAGAAGCACTACAGGCATGCTTTTATCTAGAGCCTGAACAAATGGGGGTCATTCTCTGTGCTTGTCTGTAGTTCATCACCAGGCATTCTCAATAAGAGCAAGAACACAATCCTGGCACTTTTCTGTGTTCTTCATGTCCTGCAAAAAACTGTGAAGAAGCTTCTGTCATTTAAGCCATGTTATAGAGTTGATAGACCTCTTCCATTTTAAGGGAAGAAAATTATTTGATAGATTCTTGACTTAATAAAATTGACATCCATTCAAATAATTGCAAATTTTTTTTTCAGAATTTACAACAGG